TTTATAGATTTAGTTTTAAGAAATTTATTTTATACGTAGTAAGTGGTCTCCTGTGCCCACGTATTGTCGAGTACTTCCCACTTTCTCTTCTATCAGGTTAAATGTGTTCGGGCTGATATTGAGGTCTTTAATCCACTTGGACTTGAGTTTTGTGCATGGTGATAGATATGTATCTATTTTCATTCTTCTACAGATTGACATCCAGTTTTGCCAGCACAATTTGTTGAAGATGCTCTCTTTTTTCCATTGTATACTTTTAGCTCCTTTATCAAAAATCAGGTGTTCATAGGTTTGTGGGTTAAAGTCAGGGTCTTCTATTCGATTCCATTGGTCGACTTCTCTGTTTTTATGCCAATACCAAGCTGTTTTCAATACTGTAGCTCTGTAATAGAGTTTGAAGTCAGGGATGGTAATGCCTCAGACGTTCCTTTATTGTATAAGATTGTTTTGGCTATCCTGGGTTTTTTGTTTTTCCATATAAAATTGATTATTGTCTTCTCCAGATCTGTGAAGAATTTTGATGGGATTTTGATGCTCTCACGTGCACCTGTGTAGACCCCCATCAAATATTTGAGCATTCAGCAATGTAATAAAGGTTTGGGATATAAAAAGGACATTGGTTCACAGCAAATGAAAATTAAAATAAAAACTTGACATTTCTATACTAAAAAAAAGAAATTTATTTTAATCCTAATATTCACTTATGAGTAAGTACGTACCATGTTTGTCTTTCTGGGTCTGGGTTATCTCACTTAGAATGATTTTTTTTTTATTAGTTCCATCCATTTGTCTGTAAATTTCATGATGTCATTGATTTTTAGAGCTGAGTAATACATTATTCAGACGAGGGGCATCTAGGTTGTTTCCCAGTCCCAGTAATTATGAATAATACTGCTATAAACATAGTTGAGCAAGTGTCCTTGTGGCATGATTGAGCATCCTTTGGATATATGCCCAAGATTGGTATAGCTGGGTCTTGAAGAAGATTGATTTCCAGTTGTCTGAGAAACCACCATACTGATTCCCAAAGTAGCTATACAAGTTTGCACTCCTACCAGAAGGAGAGAAGTGTTTCCCTTACTTCACATCCTTTCCGATATAAACTGTCATTCGTATTTTTGATCTAGTCATTCTAACATGTGTAAGATGGTATCTCAGAGTCATTTTGATTTAAATTGCTCTGATGGCTAAGGATGCTGGACAATCATTTAAGTGTATTTCGGCCATTTGTGATTCTTCTGTTGAGAAGTCTCTGTTTAGAGCTGTATCCGTTTATTTAAATGGATTATATGATATTTGATGTCCTATAATCCGCAACCTCAGAGAGGCTGGATAACAAGGAGGGTCCAAAGAGGGATGCATGAATTTCAGTGGGAAGAGAAAATAGAAGATATCTCCTGAGTAAACTTGTTGGGGTGGAATGGAGGGGATGGGAACATAAGGAATTGGGTTTGGCAGGCTGGGTGTGGGAGGTGAGTTGGGGGCTTGTGAATGGGGCTGAGGGTGGAATAATGAAAGAGACATCTCGATGGGGGGCATTTTGGGATTAAGGAGAAGCCTGGTACCAAGAAAACTTCCAGGAATCCACAAAGATAACCCCAGCTAAGACTCCTAGAAATAGTGGTGAGGGTGCTTGAATTAGCCATCTACTGTAATCAGATTGGTGAGTACCCTAATTGCCATCAATCAGAAAAATCTTACCTAGTAACTAATGGAAGGAGATACAGAGATTCACAGCCAAGCACTGGGCAGAGCTGTGGTAATCATGCTGAAGAAAGCATGGAGGGATTGTATGAGTCAGGGGCATTAAGGTCATGACAGAGGAACCCACAGAGATAGGTGACCTGAACTCATGGGAGTTTATAGACTCTGGATCAACAGGGAGCCTGCGTGGGACTGACCTAGGCCCTCTGCATATGTGCAACAGTTGTGTAGTTTGGTCTTTCTGTGAGGCTCCTAACAGTGAGATCATGACCTGTCTCTGCTGTACTTAGCTGTCTTTTGGGAACCTGTTACCCATGCTAGGTGACCTCACCAAACTTTGGTGAAGGGGAGTAGTTTGGTCCTGCCTCAACTGTACTTACACCCATGGAAGGCATGGCCCTTTCTAAATGGAGATAGAGGAGATGGGGAGGGGGAGTGGAGGGAGGCAGACAAGAGGGAACAGGAAGAGAAGAGGGAGGGGAAACTGTGGTATGTAAAATGAATTTAAAAAATTTAAAAATAAAAATTAGAATAAATAAATAAATAAGAAAAAAACTTATCTTTACTATGTATATGTTATGTGAGTATGTGTATGTGTACATGTATGTGTGTATGTGCATGTTTGGGGTACAGTGTGCTTATGGAGGTCAGAAGACAACTTGAAGCTTGTTCTAGTCTACCAGCATGTAGTAACTGGGACTCAAACTCAGGTTTTCAGGCTTGTTAGCAGACACTGTCACCTGCCGAACCATTTTGCGAGCCCAAATTAAGCCATTTATAATATCTTATTAACTAGTGTTAATGCTAGTTCTCCTGTGAAATTCAATCACACAGATTACTAGAGCAAAATGTGAAGTCCCATGCATCATTTGAATGTGGAACATTTAACGCCTCCATCCCACACAACACACACACACACACACACACACACACACACACACACACACACATATTGTCTCTCAGATTTTCTAAAGGTATGTTCACTTTGATATCTTAAACCAAATTTATCAATAGGTTTTAAAAGATATAGTGAGCTTCCTGTCACATCTAAGAGGTATTCTCATTAGAAGTTGACACTGAAACACACAGTGCTTCATGAGCTGACTCTCATATGCAATGTAGCAATAAATGGTCATTTCATAGTAAGAAGGGACGAATTTTTTTAAAAAACTATCGGTAAGATAGTCAATTCTCAGAGATACTACTTGGGTTCAAATCCTAACTTCATTTTTAGTTATGTAACACTGAGAAAACTACTTCATCAGTTTATACAGGATTCCATTATGTTATATGCATATGGCTTAGAATGATGCCTGACACAAAATCAAAGCTCATTAAATAATTGTTTAGTGAACTCTTGATAAAGGTTAATTGTGGAAAGAGATTATTCACATAGTATTTGGCAAGTGAAGCAAAAGTTCTTTCTTATTCTATTGCTCTCATGTTATTTCAAAATTTTGTTCATTAACTATTTATTTTCTTGGATGTATTTTATTCTTAAAATGTACTTTACTCTAAAATATGATTATCCATTAAGTTGAAAAATAGCCTTGTTACAATTCCCTTCAATGCCTGTGTTTTAGGAACGAAAACCTAATATTTTTTTGAGTAATAATACTGCCATCTCTTTTCTTTATTCAACTAAAGAAGTGGGCACAGCAATAATAAACTACTTAATCACTTAATTACACTCTATATGGAAGCTGCATAGCAGGTAATGCTTCTTTTAAGGATTTCTAAATTACAGACAATTACTGTACAAGGAGATAGAAATAATGCATTGTTTCTTTAGGTGGAAGAGGGTTTCTGAACAAACTCTTTTGTTTGTTTGCTTGCTTGCTTAATATTAACTTGTACCATACATAAAGCAAAAGTATTTTCTGTTATTCCTTCAGAAAGAGGAGGAGAGGAGAAGAGATGGGGTAGAATGTATTGAACCGTAAACTTTATCTCCAGCTCTTGGCTTCAAGTAGAGCTGAGTACAAATAAGCATTTACAGTAGTCGTGATATGACATGTTTGTTTAGCTTTTGGGAAGCTGTTCCTTTGTCTGAAGAATTGGGATAATGAAAGCTCCTCGTGGGATAGATGTAAATACAGAGGCAACCAGGAGGCTAATTAAAAAGCACCAATTCTTTTCTTTGTCATGTATTCAAGATGTTCATTATTTGTTTCATGGTATTTGATAGCAATTTTCGTGTCAATAATAAAAACCAGTTACAGAATGGTCATCTTTCAATTCTCCTGCATCTCTGCTTAGCATCTGGATAGCCTTTAGTAACTGCTGCTATCAGTGGGGCCATTTAACCGTCTGTTGTTTAGCTACTTAGTGTTCAGTTACACTCTTTATCACAATCTACACACATTTCCCTTCAGGTCTGTTCTCCCACATTAAATCTCAAATTACTCACTAGATCCTAAGAAAACATATGAGATTATATAAAAATTAAGTATCTCCAAATTACAAATAATCTAAACCCATTTACTTACATATTTACATACATATGCATGGGATCTTGAACTGATGATACACAGGACTCTACAGAGTTTATCAACTGTAATATATAATGATGAATTTTAAAATATCTAATTTTTCAGGTTTTTAATTATGCTGAAATGTGCAGAGCATAGGCTAAACCATGTGGTTTTAACTTTCCTCTGTCCTTAATAGATGCTAAGGTATAGATGCAAGAAACTTATCAGCTAGGTGGAAGCTTCATGAATTTTTACTGTATGGAAATAAGATGATATTTTAAGATACATCATAGATGACCTACAAATCTATTTTTAAAGTACCATAAATTAATCCCCCTATTCTCAGTAATATTTTTAAAATCCTTGCTGGACAATTTAACTAAATCTTCTTATTCTGCTGTTTCCAATGTGTTCAAAGAGAATTGTTACAGCATATTGGCTGCACACTGAGTTCATATCTACTTTCAGAACTATGACTCAATATCTCCGTTGTATATTAATTACAGATTGCTCCTTTTATTAATATAAATATTGAGTAGAAAGAGTAATTACTCTTGAAGCATTAAGTTCAATAGACTTTTCGGGAAAGGTGGAAGTGTTTGGTGCAGCAGCTATAGACACTTGAAATGTTACCGGTGTAACGGAGAAAATGAGTTCTTAAATCGATTTGAATTAACTTCGACCAAAAATCTAAAATGCCATAGATCTAGTGCTACCAAGTCATAAACACGATTTTCATATACCTATTGGCATGTAAACAAAAGCATAAAAGCGGTGGTGCAGGCAGAGGACTGAAAAGTGCCGTTGTCGTCCTCTCTTCAGTCTCCAGCACACAGCTACTCCAGCTACGACTCTGGCAAGAATGAGAGCGTGGACCGGGGTGCAGAGGACCTGTCACTCAACAGGGGAGACGAAGACGAAGATGAGCATGATGAACACGAGGATGCTGAGAAGGTGACCGAGACAGACGGCGTCGAAGCGGAGAGGCTGAAAGCGTTCAATGTGAGTCCCCCACATTGTGTGGCTGTTCTGACCACTCCACCTTCATGCCGTTGCTTGTTGGTCGATGTGACTATTCTAGAACCATCTTTGTTTAATTTTCAGAAGGATTTTTAAAGCACGTGAAACACTCCTTGACGAGCAGACACCAGGATGGCTGTGTTTTGTTTAGAATTCGAAAGCCAGATGGGTGCTGAGAACTGGAATTGTGCTGTATGAGTACGCAGGTCCGACTAGGTCAAAGGGGGCTCAGCCTAGTCCTCAGATGGTTATGCCTGTTTGTCCTCAGTTATTTCCTTTGTTTTCTTAATTGTGCATGACAAAAGAGTCAACTGTTGATTCTCAGAGATGAGTCCACTGTGCAGTGTGGCGATGTCTCAGTCCCATTTATCATTAAAAGCAGATGTAATGGGTGCTCAGATGTCCTGGTTCTACTGTTATTTCCTGATTTTTTTTTCGTTTTTTTCTGTCTGTTTGTCTGTCTGCTTTCCTCTACCTCCCTATCCTTCTCTCTTTCTCTCTCTTTATATATATTTATATACTTAATTCAGCCATTTAGAAAATCTTTAAAAGAGTGTTTGCTTAAAATTTCTGGCTTTCCATTTGCAAAATTCTCCAGTGCATAAACCAGAAAAAGAATAATTTTCCTCTCGGTAATCAAGACAGGAAGCTAGTAACAGAAGAGAGCAGCCCTCCAAACCCTTCTCCTCTGTCTCCCTCTTGCCAACAGATGTTTGTCAGGCTGTTTGTAGATGAAAACTTGGACCGAATGGTCCCAATCTCTAAGCAGCCCAAAGAAAAGATCCAGGCTATCATTGACTCATGCAGGCGACAATTCCCTGAGTATCAAGAGCGTGCCAGAAAACGTATCCGTACTTACCTCAAGTCCTGCAGGCGGATGAAAAGAAGTGGTTTTGAGATGGTGAGTTATAAACTGCACACAGCCCTAGATTCCATCCAAACCCCACATGTAAACCATGGCACTATTTTGTTTCCATCTTAGTGTCTTTATGTTTATTTTTCCATAATGTCAGGTCAAAGGGGTTTTCATTTGCTCGTGTTTATCCCCACTTTCCTTTTCATCCTCCCCAAGCATTTATCCCCTTTGTTTATATGAAAAGGACTCTCTTGGGAGACCAGTGCTCACAGAACCATGTGATAACATTTCATAGAAAATAAGGATAATACGAGAGAAAATCAGGGAGAAGCCAATTGTCACATGTCATCTGTGTTTGTTTCCTTTCTGTTACTACTCAAGTGCATGTGAGGTTAAGGAGTCTTCAACTGAAGGTACACTTGTTGCTACAGGCATGTCTTTGGAATGTAAAGAAATGAACGCATGTGCTGTCTAACGAATGACGAGCTTTGGAAACTAAGATGGGGAAATGAAAGTCCTCAGGTTTCAAACTAAATGCTTGTTGCCCTAGGTATAACAGCCTCACGTGATAAATGAGGCTGTACACCACCTTGTTCCGTTGTGCTGGTAGGAGATGAGTTTGCCTGACATTGTTTACTTTGGGGTAGAAACTAGTGAACAAAATATTGTGAATTTCCACTGTGTTTTTAGCTATACAAATCCAATGAACATTGACATTGTATGCTTGATGTTTGCCACATTTCAAAGTATGTGTGTGTGCATTCTCAAATGTTAGCTGCTTTATTTCTTTCAACAGTTACTGAAGCTCCAGCCTAGGGCTCAGCACACTACAAGGCAAGCAAATACTCTGTCGCTGCACCATAACTCCTGCCTTAGAAGTATTTTAAAAACTTTGATCATTTTGTTTTCTCTCCTCATACCTGAAAAGACTAAACAAAACTTTAGATTGCTAGTATTTGTGATCTGGCCTTCTGGATGTTTCAGTGTGATGGGTTGAAGTTGCTAAAGAAGAGATAGGTTTCAATGTAAGGCTTTGTATTTGGAATTTCATGGAGATAAATTCTTATGAAATAAATGGCAGTAAAGGCAAGCCCATCTATTGTCAATTTTCATATTGCTCTCCAAAGCAGAGATGCTCTTTCCTGTACTGGAGAGCCATGATGAGCATCTACTTAGGGATTCTGCATCCACTACCTCCAACTGTCTGCTTTGGGTAAGTTGTCTCTCCTGCCTGTACTAGGTTCCCCCTCTTCAGACCACAATCATCCCAGTGCCTAGTTCTGGGAGCATTCCCATCTGCTAGTACAGACAGTGTTTCCTAGAAATCCTTGCAAGTCATTTCTGGCACAAAGTAAGTCTTCAAAGAATTTGAAACAAGAAAACATTATCATATCTTATTGATTTATTATCCAAGAAAAGTTTCTTGTGATGTTTTTATTCAGAAATTTTAGAGCCTTTCAAATACAAATGTGGTTCTTAAGATTTTTACGTTAAATTGAAAGTTTGCAGTACACAAGTCATTTAATAAGCAAAATGGTATTGCTGAGTGTTCAGATTTATAGGTATAAATAACATAGGTGGCAGAGTGCAAGAGAGAACAAGAAACTCACTTGAAGAACATGAACTAGTTTCCCTGTTATAGATTATCTAATATTATGTTACACATAACAAAGACTGAAAAGAAACAATGTGATCTCACATCACAGAGTTTACTTTGATATTGGATTTAAGCTACTTAAGAGTTGGTACAAAACCCAATTGTTGGAAAAGAGGGTTGGCTCAGCCTCTACAGCCTAGGCTCACAAATAAAATTCCCATTGGTAGCTAAGTATATTTTAGCTTATACTACACATATATTCTCCTTTTAATAAAAATGAAAACATAAAAATAGCATTTATACATGTTATTTTTACAAGTTTCTGACACTACTTATCTTTCAATGAGATTTAGAGATTCTGTCCTTCAGTAAAATTCTTTTTTCTTGGTATATACTATTATATTAATCATTCTTTAAAAAAATCATCATTGTACAGAATTCATAATTTTTCGAAGATCTATGGTAGATATTGCATCATATAAAATGTTGTTATTTTATTGATTACATGTATTTGCTTAACACAGGTGTCTATTAGTAGAAAGTTCTGCTGTGTATGAAAGAAAAATTAAATTAATACAAAATATAAGCTTTACATACTAAACTTAAACACACTACCGAGAAATATTTAACCTTTAATATTTTCCATCTATTCAGCTTTTGTTTATTCAGTGTGTCTCATATAAATAGAACTTCAAAGGTAGCGGGGAGAAGTGCGCCACATTCGGATTGTTGTTGCTAAGGAAAGACTACCATTTCCTGATCATGATTCACTGAGATGACCCCTTGTCTGACATGAAGTACTCAAATGCAAATTGCAGGATCTGCTGTAACTACATCAAAGATGTAGCTGAAAATGGACTCTGCAACTTAAGCCATTACTGTCCTTTCTGTTACTAAATTCTCCCTAGTATGGAACGCCTCCTTGGAGATAAGAAGCACACTCTCTCTTATATAGGCACTCTTGAATGTTTCCTTCACTTTCTCTGCCTGTTTCCTTACTATGAATAAGGAAGTTGAATAGGATTTCATTCTTTTTCAAAGTCATCTTACAAGAAAAAGAGAGAAAACAGAAAAAAATAGTGAAAGAAAAAGAGGGGAAAAGAAGGAAGAAAAAAGAGAGGAGGAGGCATGGCTAGTGCAGAGCATTTAAAACCAACAAAAATACACAGTCTTAACTTTTAAATGTTATGTAAGATGACCTTCAGGATTATAAAATTCAAAATATTAAAAACAAAATAAGAAGAAACTCAGTCATTTTCAAAATAAGTATATTTTTATGTGTACCTTGTTCTATAAGATGTATTAAGTCAATGAGGAAATCAACTCATTTTTAAATACATGTAAAAGGTAACTATAAAGTGTAGGCATATTTTGAAGGAGATTGGGTACCAATCCATAGGCTTAGTTCTTCATTTACTTGGACCTCATAAGTACAGCAAAACCCAAAACCTCTGGATTACGAGTTTCTTGTTGACTTTATGAAATCCAAACTGAGATTCCTACTTTGTGCTTTATCACAACACAAATAATTGATGGTCTTAATGTTCACTCTCTTTTTCTTCCTCTGTCTATACAAAATCTATTCCTGTTTAATATTCATGTAATTTTTGTTGTCCACTGAATTTAATTAGAGTTACCTGCATGAATATAGATTTTAAGCCATTATGTACTTAAGCAAGGGCAACTTACCAGTGACTACACCATTGAAGAATGTGACTGTCCCTGTCACAGCAAGTGTGATGTGACTGTAGGTCCTCAATGAGGGCATAGCCTAGTGAGCCTCTTCCCTGTCCATGATGGAATATTGATGGACCCAATCTTGTATAGGTCTTGTGCCTGTAACCACTGATGCTCTGAGTTCAAGAGTCATGTCCTGAAGACGTCTTTCACAGAACTCTTTCCCATCCTCTGTCCCTTAGATGCTTTCAGCCACCTCTTCTGAAATGCTCTTTGAACAATGAGGGTGATATCGATGTTCCGTTTAGGGATGAACACTCAACAGTTGTTTATTCTCAGTACTTTCACCAACTATGAGTCTATACATTAACTGTCATTTGGTGCAGAAGGAAGTGTCTCTGGCCAAGGACATTAGTATTAACCTCTGGGTATAAACATGGATTTTAGAAGACTGAAACACTTTTAATCAGCTTTATCAAACACATTAATCAAACAATAGAATATATGTCCGTATATATGAGTTTTTATTTTCCTAGAATTATCCAGACCTAGTAAATTTTGACTGATTTAGTAGATAAAAAACATTGTGTTGTGTTCTGCACAATGTTTCTAACACATGAATTAGAATCACTACAAAATTTCCTGGCCACAAATTTCCACCAAGTCCTTATCATCAAACTTAAACCCTGGCATCTTAAGCATTAGAAATGAATAGAAATGAATAGAAATGAATAGAATAGAATAGAATAGAATAGAATAGAATAGAATAGAATAGAATAGAATAGAATAGAATAGAAATAGAATAGAATAGAAATAGAGCTTGTTTAATGAAAAAATAAACCTAATAATTTT